AACCTTCCAGGTGACTGCACTCGCTGATAGTCCTGGTGCGCAGGATTCAAGGGCTCCATTTCCATCGTATCCTGATGGCTGTTATCCTCCACTCTCCTGGTGACAGCATCATTCCAACTTGGCATCGCAGGCAGCGCATCCTCATTCACCTTGGCAGGTGCAGGACTGATTGGCGTCTCGAACCGCGCAACCTGGGCTCCACGGTAAACCGGAGGACCTGGAGGAGCACGGTAACCATCGTTTGCCGGCATCGGAGGCGGCTGATGATACCCCGGGTCATCTAGATACTTCGGTCTTGGAGCTTTGTTGCGAGGGGACGGGCAGCAACACGAGCAGCACCGGCAACAGCCTGTGCAACACTGGATGCCGCAGCACAAACAATTAATCACGCACGCAATCACAGAGATGAGGATGACTGCGCCGATAATGATACCAACGATGACGGGCCATCTAATTTAATCTCAGTCAGCACATCGACTTAGATGAGACCAGAAAAGGCGCAACGTACTTGCAATAAGTTTTTGCCATGCACTTGTCCCAACTCGAGAATGTATCCGGCGCAGACTTGAGGTCGCCGACTACGTCCCGTGCCCATAGTAAGAGCGAGGAGCGATCGACTGGACTCATGACGCAGGTTTAAGAGGATTATTTATCCTCCGGTGCTCCTGGCAGATAGGTTCTTCCACAGATCACAAAAGTTCAGGTGTTCAATTCCGACGCTGCAATACTGGTTCCCTAGCGATTCAGTGCAATCTGATGCGACAATGCCAGGGCGAGATAAGTGGACGGAAAAGAGATGATTTAGGTCGTACGAGGCTGTCATAGATTGCCGGAACTCGATCTTGGCAGCAAAAATCCGGTGATAGAATACTTTTCAGTCAAGTAAGATCTCAGAAGATCGCATGTCATCCGGCGTGAGTGCAATTCGCCGTCTGCGGCGGCTAAGGTATGTAGGCAGCAGGTAATCTCGACTGCCAAAAGAGCGTTGAAATTGGATCTTAGAAAGGTTGATACTCGAACAAGAGTATATACACAGGCCTTTTTGAAACGCAGAGAATGAATGAATAGGATAGAAGGATCGAAGATAAAAGTAAGACGAGTCGAGTTGCCGACGAGCTGCGTCTCAGACTTGATGCACACCCGCCTCCAGGTATCTTATCTGACAGCCGAGTGCAAGAAACTGTTCATCCAAGCGGTCGAATTCTTAAAAGAAAGTAAGAAGGTGAAGAGGAGATTGAAAAGAAAACAGCAGAACTGAAGGAATCATAAGTTTAAAAAAAGATTTAGAGGGAAGAAGAAAAAAAGCATTGACTTGGGAAAAAGGAAGGTTGGAAAAGAGGAGGCAGAGGGTTAACGATAGGCATGATTATCACGCGGGGATCAGCAATAAATCATACCTGTAGGGAGTAGAGGTAGGTACCCGTACTCCATACACGAACCGCATATCGCAGCAGACAGGAAAAATGCTGACAGGTGCCGTGAATGGTTGGTTCAGTCGGTTGGAATGGGCTAAATAATGTTAACCAAAGGTTTACCAACGGGAGGACTAATCTCCCATCGCACGGTTCGCACCAGCCAAGAACTTCTACTTACGAGGGTCGGCAAACGTTTGCAGACACATGGTTGATCGATGACTGATAAAGTAATGGCCCTCTCCACCGCGGTGTTTGCCCTTGCAAATTTGTCGATCGCTCATTTCATTCGAATGTGGATTCCAATATCATTGGTAGTTGTGATCCACAGAGGCTTCGGAATGGAGGATCTCCTATACGAAGTCAAGTCATACGAAAAGCATGCTTTGCGTTGTTCTGGATATTTTCGATGGAGAATAGAGGGACTGGCATCCTACTTTGTGCGCAAAGGAATGGAATGTCAAGTACGGTGGTAGATCGTACGATCAGGATGAAATGCTGCACTCCTGACCAAAGCTGGATGTAGCAGTAGAATATACAACGGAAGCACTGGTCTCCATGCGAATGGAGAAGAGGACATTTTATATCGCTAGTATTGAAATTAGTTATCTCTGAATAAATTAATTATAACACATGAATTTCCTAGGACGGGTATGGTTAACACTGAAAGCTTCCATGCAGTAATAGGCCATGAAAGTCAAGAGCGCCGATATTTTCCCTTTAGGTCATGAAATTAAGAATCGATGTAGAGACGAAATATAGAGACTCGTGGTAACATCATAAACTCCTTCACAACTGCAGACCTCACCAATTATGAAGGAAAGAGCGGAACGAGAGACAAGGTATCCCAACACTGCCGGAAACGCCTAAACGAACAACAGTGCCCCTGACCAAAGAAGCACTCGAGATCTAACAGGCAACAATGTTCCTAGTACCAGTGCATGCATTCTGCAGCAACCTACACCTTGGGTCCGTTCTGAGGTGGCGGCCCTGGTGGAGGCTGGTATACTCGGTCACCTCCTGCGTTATAAGCGTGCGGTGGCGACTGCAGCTCGATGCCCGTTTGTTGTCCGCCAAAGTAACCATGTGTCTGCGGTTGAGGTGTATATTGCGGTGGCGGCTGATGTTGATAGTATGGGTCCCCGTAATATGGCTGGTTTGGCGGAGGAGGGCCTGGAGGAGGAGCAAGCCAAGCGGTCCCGGGATGAGGCCGGAGGCCGCGATGGCGACGACGACGAGCGTTATAACATCTATCAGGAGCAATTAGTTGAGATACATGACCCTAGATGAAAGGAGACGGCGACATACGCAAGAAGGAAGAAGATTATGAAGGCTGCGCCGACGATCACAGCAAAGGCAACCCAGCGGCCCCAGCTATACCAGGCGCTGTCGTTGCATCTACCAGTCCAATTATTGTAATAACTAAAAGGGAATTAGTCCACTTAATCGACTTGAATGCCACATGCAGAGATGGAATAAATACTCACCATACCTCTCGCTGATAGAGGAACCCCATGGTGGTTGGAGAACCTCTTCGATTCACGGCCTGGTGTGGATGACGTAGATCAGGCGGTGGACGAAAGAACTCCTGCAACCGACAGATAGAGGTGGTAGACGGTCGTACAAGGAAGAATGCGAGTCAAATATGCTTGAAACACAGGGATGCTTGATGAAGGTGACGAGAAGGTATGTAAGGGAGGAGAGGAGGAGAAATTGAAGGCGACAGTCTGGTGGAAAGGTACTGCGTGAAGTTTTTAGAGAGCTGAAGGCAGCAACAAAAAGAGTGGGCGATGGGGAATGGGCGAATGGCCCGGGTAATTATGGGGACGCACCGCCGATCGGATTGGGTGGTAAGGCTGTGGCTGTGCCCTGGCTGAGAGCCTGAGACAAATACAGAGGTACCTAGGTACGACGTACCAAGTGACTCCTCGATGGCTGGGGTTACTTGGCGTTGATTATTATTACTACTCTAAGCTAGAGGCAACCTAGCCATACGAGTAGAATTCATTAAGAGGATGGATAGTCACCAGATCCTTGTCTTGGACGAGGAGGCGCAGACAAAGAGCCCAAATTGACTTTGTAAATTACTGGCTGCTTGTCAGACTACTAACGATCACTGAACTTGTGGAGAGGTGCAGATAACAGAGGATAAGGCAGGTAGCTACATATGAGTACCGCCATAATGAGCGCCGAGCCCTAGGAAATAATAATAATAAGCATCAAAGAGTCTTCCAGTAGTCGTCCCTCGGAGCTTCTAGAATATCCACAAATCTACCACTTATCTATGGCTTCTCAATCCATCTGTCTCCAATTGTCCTTCTTGTTTGCCACTTGCCTTCTGCGTCCTCTGTAACTGCATACACCCGTCAACCAACCGGCATTAAAAAGTCCCCGAATTCAGTCTGACTGTCACATGAGATGGGTCCAGAGAGGAAGAGAATGAGAAGTTGTCAGTACTGTATAGTACTACCTACAGATAAGATCTGAAGTAGACGGCATGGTTTGAATTTGGGTCATATGTTTTCTTTTTCCTCGTTAAAGCGACCCATAGGACAACTATGTACCCCGGTGGACTTAAGCCATGTGCATATTAGATTATCGACCAAATAAGGCCCAGACTGTGTACCCCGTAGTTACTGTAAACGGATACTGTCAGCATCGGCGAGTAGACCACTCAAGAGTGGTCAACTCAGTGAACTACTAAAATAATTCTACCTCTCTTAAACAAAGGACGCAACAAAACCCGTAAAGCGCACGGTTTATAACTAGAGACTCTCGTCAGAAACCTACAACATCTAATTCACGATTTGATGCCTTGTTCCGCCAACCATAATTCTCCATCTACCTATGACAGGGAAGGACCAGGATACGATGGCAACGCCTGTCTCGCGAGCTTGTGGTTGGCGGGGCAGGATTCGCTGGGAAGCCCAGGGCAGGGCTTGTTTAGTTCCCGTCTTCCATCTGCAATGCCAACGCATCAGTTGGCCTGTGTGTGGTCAGTGGCCACTGTTGGACCTCTTCAGTGACAGCCATAAATAAGTTGGCTGGGTATCGTTATCTCGACGCGTCCTCAAATCTTCTCCTAGCAAAGTCACCCACGCTCTCGGAAAAACTGCCGAGTAGCGCTGGCCGTTCGGGGATAATTAATTTTGCGCTGTCGCAGTGCAGCTATATCCTCTCTTATGGACCTTCTCTGGACTTTTACTGCTCTGATTAGGTTCGGCCTGATGTCTCATGGAATCAATCAAGATAGCAGCAGTGGGCTAGCTGATTATCAGCTGATCCGATGCCCCGCTCCCAACTAGACAAAACAGATATCCTTGGTGATGATACAGAAAATGGCTTGATATCATTTGACGATAGATGTGAACATACTTGTCGCAAAGGACTCCAAAACCGCGCAAAGAAAAAGGTCAATCGCTCCATTCATGTGCCTGGATCACATCAACAAAGTCATTACAACTGAGGCAGCGAGCCGATATTATGAGAATCTACAATTGTGTGGGTTGGAGACGAGGATAGGGCGAAAGACGATAATGAGAGTCGGTGTTGTTAGGCCGTCGCTGCAGGCTTTATCCCGCATATGTCTCATCTGCTTGCTCTGGCGATCAACCAGTGCAAGACAGCGTCAAGGTTTGTCTCCTCCTTGGCACTGATTCCATAGCAGCTCACCTCACGGCGCGTGATGGACTTGAGATCCATTGCGTCTATGAGTTCGTCAACCGACAGTTTGTCCGGAAGGTCGGACTTATTTCCCAGAACCAACAGAGGAATGCCGTTAAGCGAAGGTTTTTCCATCAGCTCGTGAAGCTCCTCTGTGGCGACCGGCAGGGCGGCACGATCGGCCGCATCCACTATGTACCTGCATCAAGAGTTAACCATGGCTGGCTTGGGGTCAACGAATGGACCTTTACACTTACACAATCGCATTAACCCCTCGGCAGTATCGCTCCCACATTGGACGAAACCGCGGCTGGCCTCCAAGATCCCAACTGTGTCAATATTAGCTGGATGAATGCGACACCCGGAGTACTCTCGGACACTGACCACTTAAGAGTCACATGGCCTTTCTGGACCCGTTTCGTGTTGAAGCCGATCGTTGGAATCGAGCTGTAAAGGCGAGGTTTAGCAACCCAAGACAAAGACAACCCGGTTGTGGCCAGGCCAGGTCCTACGCGCTCCAGACTTACTCTACAGTGAACTCTCCTCCCTATCCAACTCGAACACTCCGCATTAGCAATGACGAGTAGAAGAGAAGGAAACTGTCTGGTCGCTTGAATGTGAAATAAAGCATACCGCAAGCACCCGCAACAGCGACGATTTCCCCGCATTCTGCAATCCGATCATCGTGACATCCATCTCCGTCGCCCTATATTCGCAACATACATTTACCCCTCTTAGCAAGCCGGAGCATTCAATGTCTCTGCGGGGGCCGGGCCGGGAGAGCTATCGCCGACAGGGCGAATACTTTTGAAACCGCGGCCCACTTACCAAAACATCCTCAGGAGCCAGTCATAGATCGTCCGAAAGATACCCGCCATACTGCGGATACTTCAAATCACTTCTTCTACTTCCGGTAGAGGTCAGGAACCAAGAAACAGAATCAGTTGCGGTCAAGATCAGAATGAAAACAGGGTGCTTGCTGGATTGGTGACAAATGACGAATGGACGTGGATATAGTCGAGATCCAAGGTCCTGGAGACTTGGATCGAAGCGCGGGAAGTGGGGGTAGGCTGAAAGTCAGCCTCTTGGTGGTTTGGTATATTTGGTAGCCAGCTACCGCAGGGATGGCGTAGATGGGCTAAACCGCAGTCGAAGAAGTTAAGGTAAAAGTAAAATCAAATAGTAAATGCCCGGGAGCAATAGAGAAAGCGGCTTGTGGAGAGACGCCCAGAAGGTTCGGGAGAATGAGGACACAACGTCGAGCAAGTGGCTGTGAAGGGACAAGATTCTGCTAGAGAATAGAGCGCCAAAAGGAGCGGTAAGTCTTCCAGTAAATTTTGTAGTTACAAGCCTCAAGGAGATGAAGGTTAAAAAAAAAGGGAAATTCTTCTTTACTTTGCGTTGTGGTGAAACTGAATTGCTTGGGATCTATGTGCACGCATGACCGATTCCCTCTGCGCCGCGGTGGAGGGGAGCGCTTAGCTTAGCAGCTCAGTCAGGTCAATGAGACAATAATTAGGGATGGACAGGAGTAGCAACGTTGACAGGTTTAAATCCGATATTGAACACGCATTTACCCCTGATAGTCATTTAGACAGGTGACTTTGTCGTACCAAAGTGATTCATTGTGTTGTACTTGAGCCATCAATCAAGCCTTGTTATTATTGTGTCATGGATGTTTTTCTTGCTGTCTTCAGGAAAAGTCTGCCTTATTGCCTAAGGCGGCATCTGCACTCCAGTGTGATCCTTGTGACGCATGGTGATATTGATGCCTAAGGCCGAAAGGCACTAAGGCACTGACAAAGGGACACTATCAGTATCAGCACGTGATGATATGTGTCCGTTGGTCCACCCTCGAAAAATTTCCAGCATGAACAAGGTCTCCGACAGATTGTTCCGATCGACCTCTGCGACGCTCTGTCCCATACATTCCTCGAGTCCAGTCTACATCAGATTTAAGACGCTTCTCTGGGTGAGGAATGGGACATTGAGTGTTCATATTGCACCAATTCTTTTTTCATTGGCGCACACATCCGGACTAGCGCCGTGCAGTTGAAAATCTTGTGTCGATTCCTCCGCACGGGTATAGTCGAGACAACCAGAGAAGGAGGCACGGAGTGCCCAAATTTTCTTCAAAAATGGCTCCTTCAGCGACTGATACCAATTGGTCCGTCGATTTTGACACCATCCGGCGGCACCAGCTTTTCAAGAACCCCCCCAAGGACCACACCGCATTTCCCTCGTTGGCGGCTGCCATTCGGCCACACCTTGACTCTTTCAACGCGCTTTTCGAGGGCAGCAAGGTCCTCGAAGCAGGTTTGAAAGATATCGGCATCAAGACTTTTCTGGATGGTGATGCTGAGACCCCCGAGGAGAAGAGAGCACGGAAAGCGGAAGGACGGCGACCCCCGAAACGCAACAGGCTTAATGTTCGAATCAGGGAAATCTTCCTTGAGAAACCGGCCATTCCCGCAACAAATAAATTCGCTACTCGTAACCGAAATATCTACCCTTCAGAAGCCAGAGAGAGACATGCTACATACCGTGGGAAGCTGCGCGCGAGGCTCGAGTATCAGGTTAATAATGGAGACTGGATGGAGTCTATCAGAGAACTTGGGCAGGTGCCCATCATGCTGAGAGTAAGTCGTTGAAATAATAGATGTCTAACTGCTTTTCGCACACTAATAGCATCGAAACCTAGACCAATCGATGCCACCTGGAGAAGGCGACTCCCCAGGAGCTTGTCCAGCACAAAGAAGAGTCGGAGGAGCTGGGAGGCTACTTTATTGTCAATGGTAACGAGAAGCTCATCCGTATGTTGGTTGTCGGCAAGAGAAATTACCCCATGGCAATTGTCCGTGGTTCCTTCGTTCGTCGTGGTCACACCTACACCAAGTTCGGTATCCAAATACGATCAGTGCGCCCTGATCAGACATCGCAGACGAATGTCCTCCACTATCTCAGCGACGGAAACGTGACCTTCCGATTCTCTTGGCGGAAAAACGAGTACCTCATCCCGGTTATGATGATCATGAAGGGTTTGGTCGAAACGAACGATCGCGAAATATTCGAAGGCATTGTCGGCAGCGCTACGTCCAAGGGTGTCAACAATACATTTGTGACGGACCGTGTGGAACTGCTGCTCAGAACATACAAAGCCTACAACCTACATACCCGTTCCTCCTGCCGAGCTTATCTGGGCGAGAAGTTCAAGCCCGTTCTTGGTGTTCCAGCAGATATGTCCAACGAGGATGCTGGTACGGAGTTCCTCCGCAAAATTGTCTTGCCTCATCTCGGTAACCAGAATGTCACCGAGACCCAAGACTATGACAAATTCAAGTTGATCATGTTCATGATCCGGAAGCTGTACGCGCTTGTTGCTGGAGATTGTGCCCCCGACAACCCGGATGCCGTTTCCAACCAAGAAATCCTGCTCGGCGGTTTCCTGTACGGCATGATACTCAAGGAACAACTTGAGGAATGGATGAGATCTTTTGGCCCTATCCTGAGGGATTGGTCCAATCGCAACGGTGGTGCAAAATTCACTGATCCAGCTTTCGAAAGAGATTTCTTGAGCAAGATTGTCAAGAGGACCAACGAGAACATCGGTGGTAAGCTGGAGTATTTCCTGTCGACTGGTAACCTCGTCAGTCCCACGGGCCTAGATTTACAACAAGTGTCTGGTTACACTGTCATGGCGGAAAAGATCAACTTCTACCGATTTATCAGTCACTTCCGAATGATCCACAGAGGTAGTTTCTTCGCACAGCTGAAAACAACTACAGTTCGTAAGCTGCTTCCCGAGAGCTGGGGCTTCCTTTGTCCGGTTCACACTCCTGATGGAGCACCCTGTGGGTTGCTAAACCATCTTGCTCACAAGTGCTTAATCGCCACAAGCGATGTCAACGTCTCTCATCTCCCAAAGCTGTTGGTGCAGCTTGGTGTACGATCTGAATCGTCCGTTGCCTTAGAAGACAGCGTTACGGTGCAGCTGGATGGCAGAATTGTTGGATACTGCTCACCCAAGCAGGCCCGTATGATTGCGGATACCGTTCGGCACTGGAAGGTCTCGGGTACACACAACATCCCACGAGAATTGGAAATCGGTTATGTTCCCAACTCGAATGGTGGCCAATATCCTGGTGTCTACATGTTCTCTCAAGCCGCCAGAATGTACAGACCTGTCAAGTACCTACCTCTCGACAAGCTTGACTACGTCGGTCCCTTCGAACAGCCGTTTATGGAGATCGCATGCTTACCCGACGATCTTGTGGCGGGCGTGTCCACGCACATTGAGTTCACACCGACGAACATCCTGTCCATCGTCGCCAATATGACACCTTTCTCCGACTATAACCAGTCGCCCCGTAACATGTACCAGTGCCAGATGAGCAAGCAGACGATGGGTACACCCGGCACAGCGATCGAATACCGGACGGACAACAAGCTGTACAGATTGCAGACCGGTCAGACGCCTATTGTACGACCTCCGCTGTACAACGCATATGGATTAGACAACTTCCCGAACGGCACGAACGCGGTCGTGGCAATTATCTCGTATACAGGTTACGACATGGATGACGCCATGATTATCAACAAGTCGTCGCACGAGCGTGGCTTCGGCTACGGTACTATTTACAAGACCAAGATCCACTCTCTTGACGACAAGGACTCGCGGCGCAGCAAGTCCAGACGCGAGATTACCAAGCTCTTTGGTTTCGCTCCCGGCGGAGAGATTCGGGCAGAGTGGCGTACTACTCTCGACGAGGACGGTCTCCCCCATGTGGGTGCCAGAGTCAAGGAGGGAAGTCTGATTGCTGCATGGCATACTGTGCGCTATGATGCTGCTTCTGATTCTTACGTGAATGTTGACGGCATCACGCACTTCGTCAAGTACAAAGACGCAGAAGAAGGATACATTGACAGCATCCGGATCATGGGTGCCGAGACCGGTTTGGAGCCGTGCCAGGCACTGAGCGTCAAGTACCGTATCCCCAGAAAACCTGTTATCGGTGACAAATTCTCTTCTCGTCACGGACAGAAGGGTGTCTGCTCCCAGCTCTGGCCTGCGGTTGACATGCCGTTCTCCGAGAGCGGTATCCAGCCAGATCTGATCATTAACCCTCACGCTTTCCCTTCTCGTAAGTTCACCTTTGCGGGCTTTTTCCATTGCGTTTCAAACGACATGAGACTAATTTCATTGCAGGTATGACCATCGCCCAAATGATCGAATCCATGGCCGGCAAGGCTGGAGCTCTGCACGGCCATCCTCAGGACTCCACCCCCTTCCAATTCTCGGAAGAAAACACCGCGGCAGACTATTTCGGCCAACAGCTGCGCAAGGCCGGCTACAACTACTACGGCAACGAGCCCCTCTACAGCGGTGTCACAGGCAAGGAATTCGCCGCCGACATCTTCATTGGCGTTGTCCACTACCAGCGTCTCCGACACATGGTCAACGACAAGTTCCAGGTCCGGACAACCGGTCCCGTCAACCAGCTGACCGGCCAGCCCGTCAAGGGTCGTGCAAAGGGAGGCGGTATCCGTGTCGGAGAGATGGAGCGCGACTCGCTCATCGCCCACGGCGCGGCCTTCATCCTCCAGGACCGTCTGATGAACTGCTCCGACTCCCAGCGCGCCTGGATCTGCCGCGACTGCGGCTCCTTCCTTTCCACCCAGGTCGCCGTCTCATCCGCCGGCTCCAGCAAGGCCCGTCTGGCCGCTTCCGCCGCCAAGAACGCCTTCGCCCAGCAGAGTGGTGCACCGGGCATTGTGCGCTGCCGACGCTGCGCCCGCGAAGCTGTCTTCGAGGACTCCCGCGCCATCGTGTGGGAGGATGGAGACGGCCGTCGCTATGTGGGCGGTGACAATGTCACCATCGTCGCTGTTCCGGGTGTCCTGCGCTACCTTGACGTGGAACTCGCCGCGATGGGTATCAGAATGAAGTTCTGGGTTGACAATTAAGTGGGAAGAATAAAGGATGCATATACTCCACGAGATACGCTGAGCTCAGTGAAAAAGCATATGTATAGAGCGCTTGAGCATTGTTCGTTTTTTGTCGCCTTAGGGCGTTTGTATGTTATGTGGGATACAATCTAGAGTCTTTTTTTGTTCTACTCTTGTCTTGATCTTCACATCAAGATGTTTAAGATTACGAGGTGCAGCTTTTTGTCTATTATATTCTAGATTTCATTCCATCGCCTGTTGCCTATTTCGTACTACCAGGTAGATTTCAATGATGGCAACAGCAAGTCGAAAAGTTTTCAATGCGTAGAGAAAAGGAATTACGAGATAATCATCATATCGACCACAGGAATTATCAGAATGTGCCCTTAAAGGGCCGACGTAACGTTCGAGAACTCGCCCTTTTCCAGCTTTGTTTTCCAGAAAATGGGGTTCATATCGTCGAAACCGTGGTGGACCCAGCCTTCCTCCTTGACATGGTACAAGTTGATGAAACCACCAGAGTACGCATCACGGTGCATGGCGGCAAGAATGCTCCGACGACCAAGCTCGAGGGCCTCCTCTTCAGTTAAGTCGTAGCGGTACTCGGCGTCAAGCACACCGTAAGCGAAGGTCTGACCGGACCCAACGCAGAACAGGTTTCCGGGGAGTCTTGTGCCGTCCGAGTCGATGTAGTAGAGGGCTGGTCCTTCTTGAGGGGTCATCTGCGGTGTTATCAGTTTCACACTCATCCCATTTGCAAAAGAGGGGATCGAAACGTACGCCTGCCAACATTGTACCCATGCTGAGACCCATTCCCTTGTAAGCGTATGTCAGATTGGCGAGAATCTTCGATGCCGCCGCAACGGTGATACGACGCTTGTGCCGAATCTCTGCCACGACGTTAACACAACAGTCTTGCTAGAGATACGTCCAGACTCACCGTGAAGTGTGCATTGCTGGCTCAGATATCTCAGCCAGTATTGGCAATCCTGAAGGGCAGTTCTGTCAGTGTCACCATGCCACCAGGACGCAAAAGAATGCATACCGCAGCACCACCAGCCATGGTACCCAATAGACCAGGGACCGGAGTATCCTGCTTCTTGTCCTCACCCCGACTCAACCGCGACACGGGAATGACCTTCTTGACTGTCTGACTGGCGATCCAGTTTCCAGCGGTAGCTCTCGAATCCGTCGCGACGATCTAAGAGACAACGAGTCAGCCAGACTGGTACAATTGGTCCAGCCAGACGGGGAGTTGACGGCATACAATTCCGCCCTGAAATCGGAAGGCGAGTGTTGTTGTTCCGTGAGCGAGCTTGATGGGACAGCTAGGATTCGAGTGGTCATCGGTCATGGCACGAAGGAATGCGGAAGACTAAATGCGAGGAAGAGCAAGACACACATATTAGCTGATAGCTTCTCCGAAGTGCGATGAGTGCAGGATCCGCTCAGTGAAACCGCTCCGCCATAGAGCATTCTCACAGGTCCGAAAGTCCAGACAGGTGGAGTGCTAAATTGTAGCTCACATTTGCAACTGGAGGAAGAGCGAACTTCAGAGAAAGAGGAGGGAGGCTCTCTGTCAGGTCCTGCTGTTCTTGCTCCGAGTAGAACTCATTCTGGTGAGGTGGACGCGAGTACTGGGCGACTAATTTATCCATGATTGAAACCGACTCTTCTAGGTTCCAGTAGCAAAAAGACAAGCAGGAAGTTAATCGAAGTGATAATATACAGCGGCGATGGCGGAAGTGGATGGATGAAATGGGAAGCAATTGCAGCTCTCGCTGAGAGCTCCATTGAAGCTCCAACATCCGCGTCACTTGCTGCCGCCTGCGTCACGTGAGATTACTGCAATCAACTCTCAGGATAGGATTCTTCCATGACTTTTGATAGTACCTATACATAAGAGTATATTGATTTATATGAAATTCCCTCAAAACAGTTCTTTTATTACAAATCATTTACCGCGGCAGCAGACCTGGAAGTTCCTATAGACTCCGACTAAATCCATATACCCATGACCATCCCATCCAATATCAAACCATGCTACAAAGTAAAACTGACGACTAAGACATTACCCTGAAAGAGTACCTATCTGCTTTCCTCTGGTTTCTCAGTATGGCACAGCAACGGGCTGCGTTCCGGTAGCGCCCGAGACCTGTTGCTCATCCAACTTTTCGTGTGTGACGCCGTCGGTGCCAGTCTCGTTGACATTACCAGCGGCTCCAGTTAAACCACCTCCTTGAGCTTCCTGGCCTCTACCTGCTCCAGTGGGCAGTAGAGTCGTGCCAGAGGTCTCTCCCGCAGAGGTATGGATGGGTTCGACGCTGCTCTCCCAAGACTTTAGGTCATTCTCGGCAGCCTCAAGGATCTGCCTTGCTTCATCGGCATGCTCATAGGGCTGTCGTGTGTCACCAGGGACGACTGGGGTGTCGTCGAGGTAGTTGAGGAGACGGCGAGCATGACGCGCGAGCAGAATCTGCTTCTCTCCGCGCTCAATGACTGCAGCCAAATGGATATCAAAAGCCTCCTTGAGCTTCTGTCTGGTCTATCGGACAAATCTTAGCCCCACGCTCGCGATCAGGTACACTCGTAAGGTCATACGTACCACATTGGTCAGTTGAGCCTCAGCGACCAGATTATTTGCCTCAGCGCGCACCAACTCCTGCTCCAGAACTTCCACCTTGGCATTGCTCTGCTCCCCCTTCAGCTTAAGCCGCTGGATCTCGTCCGCGATCTTCGCCCTATGATCGCGCGATGGCTGCACCGAAGTCTCCGTATCCCGGATCGACTTCAAGATACTCCGGTAATCCTCCAAGCTCTGCGCAAAGTTATCCTCCTGCTCGCCGATCTCCGCCATCAGTACACCGAGCTTGTCGGAAATGTCGGAGACGGCGTCATCCTCGGTGCCTTCGCCCCATTCGGAGAGCTGGGCGGCGATGTTGACGCGCTCGCGGCCGGCTGCCTCGTGGGCTGAGATGGCCGAGTTCTCTTGCTTGACGATACGGCTCATCTTCTTGCTCAGCTCGGGCGCCTGCATACCGCGGAAGGTCGACATGCTGAAGCGGTGGCGGGCCGGTTCCTTCTTTCGGATGGAAAGATTTCGGTTCCTGGTGCGATTAGCCACGTCGAGGATAGGATATTTTTTCGCACGGCTCATACATCATGGCGAGGTCCGTTCAAACTTGTTTATTCACCAAAGCTGTACAATCAGTTTATTAGGCGAGGCAATCCGTAGCTGTTACTGAATAGAATCAAGCAGGAATGCGCCTTCCTTCAAGTGCAGTTACGACACAGTACTGCTATACAACCGAGAGGAACAGGCTGTTCTCTTATCGACTCAGTCACTGCAGATCAGGTGTACGATGACACAAGACAGATAGATGGATGATATCCCTTGGAGATGACGAACGGGTGTTCATCTTGACTGATGGCGCAGTTGCTCGTACATGACGTCATGCGGGATGAGCGGAAGCTGAAGTCATGATCCGAATGCAGTCAATGTCGAGATGTTTCATGATGTGTTGATGTGTGTGATTGATTCTAATGGATGATTTAGAGTTGAGTTCGAGCATTGAGCCGTGGAAAGCGTGTTGTGGTGTTGGTTGTGATGCGTTTCTAGCCCAGTACCCTAGTCTCATAGTCTACGGAGTGGGTTCTTGAAGATCATGACGGGAGCATAATCGTTTATCTTGGAACAATGCAGCAATCGTCTCTACCAATCAAAGGCAAGTACGGCAAGTAAACTCGATAGCATGTATAGCGAAGTATGATACTCCCAGCTTACGCAACTCAATTCATCCTCCCCTCCCAGAGACAAATCTCACCTCCTCCTCCCATACTCTCCCCGGATGGTGCAAACGCGATCGTCCCCAGCCCCCAGGCTCAACATATCTCACACATCTATACACCGGAGACGGCGAACGAGGCGGACTTTCAAAGAACCCCCTTCTGAAAGGAATAATCGACTCAGACCGCGTGCGCACTCTCGTCCTTTGCACAGTCGTATATGATGGTTCTGGTTCTGGTGACTTTGAGCGCGCATACCAGGAGTGGTGCTGGTGTCGATGACGATGGTGATGCGAAGGACGCGGCGCAATGACAACGGTAGTATCATCGCTACTGCTGCTGCTGCTATGACGGCTTGAGCTGCTGCTGCTTGAGCCGGAACTGGAACTCGAACTGGAGCTGCCGCTGCCACTGCTACTACCGCTACTGCAGCTGCTTCTGCGCCGACGAGGACCTGGCATTGAGACACGAAGAGTCCCCGGGCGGTATTCGACGACTCGTACGCCGGGCCCCGGTCCGTTGTCAACTTCGAGGAAGCACATGTCGACTCTGTCAGTTGGGTAATGACTGCCCGTAGATGAGGAAGAGCCGTGAACGCCCGTTACGTGGGAACCTGAACTGATATGCGAGCGATACCGAGTACAGCAAGCGATGGACCGTCGTACGGCAAGCAAAACGCAGAGTAGTAGATCTGGCGCAACACGATTAAAGTACTGCGATTGACTTTGACCGAATAACAGCTGTACTGATTCAAAAGACGACGGAATTATGGAAGCTCACGGTATAGTCAAAGGATCACAATGTCTGTATGCGACAATAGCATAGCAGTATATTCTCCGTACCCCAAGCTTTACTCGAGCAATAATCTCATTAAATGAATATTCCACTACCATCCTGTCATGCGGATCTTCCCGCCTTGTGATTCATCCTCATACCTCAAAGTGAGTGTTGCAAATATGTTCATCCAGTGACGCCGTCATGTGCGCGGGACAACTGATAGAGGTAGGCACACCACAACATCAGACTCTTAGCACATTGTAGACCTTGTGTGAACCAAACCTTGAAGTAAAATATAGTGTTATAAGATGGCCGATGCCAGAGTGCAGAACGGCGGCCTTGATATAGGCCGTCACGAATCGATTATAGCAATGTGTGTCTCCTATCTAGATCGTACAACACAAGTTCTTTTCCTTGGAAGAGTGGGCAGCAGGAGGTGACAAAAAAATTCAACCAGCGCCCAGCATATAACAGAACCATCCAACACCCGATGAGAAAGCCTACATCCAAACAAGAAAAATATGCGACCACCTCCGGGCCAGTTTATGACATGTCATCTGCATCATGGTGGTGGGTATGCTCATTATCTGATGCGTGAAAGGCATCCCCAAACGCCGAGTTATCCAGATCAGGGAGATCCAGACCCTCGTTCTGCTCCGTGTATGCTGCCAGCGCGTCTCCAGCACTGTCCATGTTGGTGAAGTCGAAATTCGCGCTGTCAAGACCGGTGTCACCCGCGCTTCCAGGGCCAGGAGTTAGTCCCTGTAATCCGCTTCCCGGCGTTTCACCCGCTTGCATGTCGCCAGGAGGTCTATTGATATTGTCATCCTTCTTGTCCTCGTTCACCATTACCCAGTCGCCAGTTTCTCCAACAGCGGTATTCGTGGGTTGGCCATCGCCCATGTCCATTTCGGCATCCAAAGACGCGGTGGGTTGAGCAGGTGCCGCTCCAGTGGCTGTTGGCGCCGCTTGTCCCTGAGCTGCAGGAGCTGCCCCTTGTGGAGGCGCGCCGAACTGACCAAGAAGATGGCTGTCTGTATGGCCCATGTCGATATCGACATCAGCTGCAGTCGAAACAGGTTCGGGTTCAATCTTTTCCAGCAAGCCACCCTTTTGTACGCAGGAAACCTTGGGTTCCGGTACGATTTTCCTGCGCCACGAGGCTTCAACTTCTCGGACAATGTCATCAACCTTGTACTTGGCCTTGTGTTCAACGGGAACGACCTCATCTCCATCCCCTTCGGTTGGCATCTCAGTGCGACCTTCCATTCGCCAAATCTCTGTTCCGGTATCTTCAGGATTCGCTGCTGCATCCCGAAGTCGGAGTTCAGCATCCTTGAGTAAAGAGGTGCGATTGAACTTTTCCATCCTTCGGGCATGGCGCTTCTTAAGCTTCTCAATTTCTGCAGTCATGTCGGCCACCTTTTTGGCAACCCGGTCGGCAAACTCCTTTGCCTTTTCGGGCTCCATTTTCGTCGCTTGAGCAGACTCAGTGCTTTCTTTCGAATCACCACCTGCAGGCCCAACCGGTGCATCGAAAAAACCTGCAGTCAGAGTCTCCAACTCGCCTTTGCGACCGAGCCCCAAAGAAACAGGCGTGATCTGACTGATCGCATACGGCGAGGCGAAGATCTCTTCCATCCACTCGTGGTGTTGCTGGTATCTCATTTTGCTTACTTCCCGAGGAGTCAGCAAATCCATCATGTCGCCCGTGGAAACGTCTTCATCCTCGAGTGCAAAATCTGCTGCTGCGGCGGTCATCGCCGCAGTTGAGGCGCGATGTCCACGAGGTGCCTTGGCCGGAGCTGCAGCGGCGGGCGCAGGCGCAGGTTGCCCAGGCTGGGGATAGAACGGCTGACGGCCAACCATGGCATTGGGATATGGCCCCGCCGGTTGGGCAAGTGCTTGCGGCGCTATCTGTGGAGGAAAGTTGATTGTGGGCCAGTTGTTCCGATCATGAAGCATAAAATCTTTGCGCGCCAGTTGACCCTGGCTTTGGAGGAAACGACGTTGAGCCAGCATGTTTTGCACTTGCGGGGAGACCGGAATCCGGTTCGCTGGAATATGTTCCGTAGGAGGCGCTCTGGAGTAATGCACAATCCAGAGTGACGGGTCCGGAGGGGGAAGGCTAGGGTTGGGGACTTTCGTGGGCAACAGCCGGTAGCGTCTGCGACAGTGGATGGCCACAGACTCATTGGGAGGGTGGTAACCGCTGCGATGGAGCCACATCTCCACCATCTGTCACGGACACGCATCAGCATACAAAATCAGAGAATTGGAGATGCATAGGACAAGCGCCATACGTATCCACGAGCTTCAAAGGTAAAGGCCTGTTCCACGTCGGCCCAGACGTAACCATCGCTGGCGAAGTTTGTCCCCAAGTGGTTAAGAGGCTGCCATGTGAGCATCACCGTTCCATCCTGAGGTCCATCTAAAATCGTCCAGTGCATCGGTTGAGCTTCGCGAACGATCTTGGGCGCGGACAGGAGGTATTCGACGACGGTGTCTGTCGGCATCATGTGCATCAAAGGGTACCGATGGCGCGACACCAGATGCATGTGCGGCAGCTATGCAATCAAACCCACTAAGTTAGCATGCTGTCCTCGAATGACTATGCAATGAATCGTCCCCAAAACTCCTAGAGGAACGACTCACCAACTGCGCCGGGACGCGGCTCGCTGGGTCGTCCATTGTGACCAAATATCGATGGACAATGGTAAATCAGGTGTCAACGCGGTCGCAAAAATGACAATATCCAGTCTATCTAGAGAAACACAATATAGAGGGTGGACTAGGGCACCTCCAAGGCGTAGTATTTGGAGGCGAGGACAATTAGATGAATGCTAGTTAGCTATCAACGCGACGCGGGAAAATTGAAGTTCCAGAAAGACACCGGGTGCGGTTGGTGGGAGAAACTCATAGCGCAGTTTTGACACCTTACCGATCAGGCATTAAAAGCAGGCACGCCAAGCGTCGGGGATGACCCGAACGCTTCAACCATGATGAAGATGAACAGAGGCTGGGCAGATGGGGGAGCTGTAAGGAATCAAGGACCTTGCGGAGTGAAGACGTTAAAATGTGATTTAGTCATCCCTATAACTATAAATGTCTAACTTTCTCTCCAGCCTTCTCGACATGAGATATTGACTTGTCCAATTCGCCAGTTCAAGAACGGCTGGAGGGAGCTCAATAGAGCTTAGGGACAAGCTTTCTCTCGACCCGCCACTTGTTTCTCCGCACTTTAAGCCTGAAGATGAACTACAAGAAATGGTAGTGCAAAGCCCTCTTCCATGGCTGGGTCCAATTGAGATCCGATATGGAGCCCAGATGCTACTCTCGGATAATTAGGATATCTCAATTATGGATGTATCCACTTTTCTGCAAGTGTTGCCCACTGCATGTGGCGTCACACTTCCCTCTCCCCCCTCACCGAACCTCAGCCATTCTGGTCCGGTTGTGAGACAGGAGGATCGCGTTCCTCGTCCTAATGTTGCAGATCACTTAATAGAGCGGGACATTTTCGCACCAGTATTGCCGACGTTACTGCGTTACTCGGCCATTAAAAGGGCGTCATGTCCTCGTTCTCCTACAGCTCTCACGATGTCTTTCGATTATTGTCGCCGATTCTTTTGCAATCATAGCGGATACCCTTCATTTTAAGCACCACTTTCGGCCATGAAACCCCCCGAAGATAATGATACTCCTAAGGATCAAATGAAAGACGCTATTGAACAAGCCCCGGGCGTTGACACGGAGAAACAGAACGCGGTCCATCACGATGAAGACGACAACACAGCACTGCCCTCGATGCCTGCATCAGCCATCACTATAGACCCGGCTATCGAGCGCCGGGTTCTGAGGAAATTGGATCTAAGGGTTCCGACCCTTCTGGGGTTCTTGTGTGAGTCCTCCCTCCGCCTTGTCGACTCTAAATGCTGTTTCTAACAAGAACATTGAGCCTAGATCTTTTGGGGTTACTCGATCGCTCTAACATAGGTTTGTTTTATGACTGGAGTGGAGCAAGATTTCCATCTGACTATATACAGGTAATGCATACATAGCTGGGATGAAACAAGATTTGCATCTGAGTGGACAGCGCTACTCTTGGCTTCTGACGATTTTCTACATCGCGTACACGCTGTTCGAGTTTCTAGCCTTGATGTGGAAGATTCTACCACCTCATCGCTGGGCAGCGATTACTGTGATGAGCTGGTAAGTGCCACGTGACGACCCGGTTTCATTTGCGATCACCCTCCTAAATCTTTCAGGGGCATTGTTGCGACTTGTCAAGCTGCGGCACAGAATTGGGAGGGAATGATGGCCCTTCGTTTTCTTCTAGGGCTGTCTGAAGCCGCGTTTGGACCTGGCACACCGTACCTGTTGTCTTTCTTCTATCGCCGTCATGAACTCGGTCTGCGGATCGGGCTGTTTTTCTCTGCTGCGCCTCTGGCCAACACATTTGCAGGCGCCCTGGCATATGGAATCACATCTGGCCATTCCAAGTTGGCCAATTGGCGATTGCTGTTCCTAGTGGAAGGGGCGCCCTCTATACTTGCTGCTTTTCTTGCCTGGTTTTACCTGCCAGATCACCCAGCGTCTGCCCATTTCCTGACTGATGAAGAAAAAGAGGTTGCACGAGCGAGAGGGCTCCGGAAGAGCGGAGAGGGCGAGCGGGTAGCAGGCATTGACTGGAAGGATATTGGCCGTACCCTGTTGGATGTTAAAGCCTGGATCGCGGCGGTATGTTGTGCTCTCCCTTGATTCTCGATCAAGTTGTACTGATACGGAAATACAGTTGATGTACTTCAGCTGCAACGTGAGCTTTTCTTCGCTCCCTGTGTTCCTTCCCAAGATCCTTAAAGACATGGGCTTCACGTCAATCAACGCCCAGGGTCTCACAGCACCGCCATACTTCGCTTCGTTTCTTGTAACAATTGCCACAACCTGGTTGGCCGATCGACTGCAACAGCGAGGGCTGATGATTACTTTGTTGTCGCTCATTGGGGCTATTGGATATGTGCTGCTCGCCACATGCACCTCAGTTGGTGTCCGTTATCTCGGCGTGTTTCTGGCAGCAGTGGGAGTCTTCCCCTCTATTGCTAATATACTTCCTTGGGTATTGAGTGCGTCATCACCATCTTCATATCGTCTGATCAGATGTTAATCAATCATCTAGATAATCAAGGATCCGACACCCGACGAGGTATGGGGATTGTAATGCTCAACCTGGTCGGACAATGTGGCCCTTTTCTGGGCACCAACATCTTCCCCGAAAAAGACGCGCCTCGATACGTTCGAGGACAATCCGTTTGCGCCGCTTTTATGATATTTGTGACTATCCTAGCACTCACTTTGCGGTGTCTTTTGGTCTGGGAGAACAAACGCTTGGATCAGAAATATGGTACCAAGAACGAGGAATCTACCGAAGGAGGGTCCAATGGAAACGATGATGGCGTGGCAGAGGAGAATTATGGGTCTAGATTCCGCTATGTCCTATGAGATATTATGATGACGGCTTTCATGATTAGAAATGATGTCTGATATATAAATGCGGGGGGCTATGATGTGCAGTCAAGCTGGATGGTTGGCACGATATAAGAATACTATTGGAAACAAAGTCGTGCAGTCTAGACTTGACGACAGATCTCTAAATCTATTTATCTGGTTCTCGAGATTGTAATGTCATAGGACGCTCTGAATATGGTTGGATCGCTGCCAGTGATAAAATATAGCTCCTTGCGTGTGTTTTAGTGGGGCAGACAATCTTCGATTGACTTTCGCATCGTCCTGTCTTCCATCGCATCGTCAAAATCAGTTGAGAACTGTTCTACAGTGAGAGGCACAGTTTGCATCGTGTCCAGCTGTTCTTTCGTGGGTCTAAGGAGTTTCATCTTCTTGACTGGAAGGTCGCCCTGGTCGCTCCTTTATCGCCATAAAAGCGCTTGACCGTACCGACTTCTGGATACCAACATAACTTTGGTGCATCTATTTCATACTCGGTCTCTGAGTTTTGAGCAGTCAACATGAGTATAGAGTCAAAAAAAGATACGGCCAACCTGTATGGCCTGGTGGACATGGGAAGGTAAGCTAAAGCACTGAAACTCCGCCGCTGCTCCTGTGTCCAGAGAATCAGGTATATTCACTTTCATCAATCTGACCAGAAAGTAGCAACGGAATTCGCTTCTCCATCACCGACATCTCCCCGCCGACAGCCCGGCTCCTGCCAACAATCTACCAAGACCGGGTGGGGATCTCCCTCTACGAGGCCCAATTCTCGCAGACGGAGAACGGGCAGAGGGTGCGGGGGCCTATCTCGCAAGAGATCATTGAGCAAGTTGTGGACCGCCTCGTGCGGTTCAAAATCACCTGCGACGACTTTTGCGTACCCCCGGGCAACATCCACGTCCTCGCTACAGAGGCCACACGCACGGCACCAAACTCTGACGAGTTCCGGGCGCGGATCAAGGCCCGCACCGGCTGGGAGGTGCGCATGCTCTCTAAAGAGGAGGAGGGGCGTATCGGGGCGCTGGGAATCGCCAGTAGCTCGCATTCTGTCGCGGGACTTGCGATGGATCTTGGGGGTGGGAGTACGCAGATTACCTGGGTGATGGAGGAGGATGGGGTGGTGAGCACGAGTCCCCTGGGTTCGTTTAGTTTCCCGTACGGGGCGGCAGCGTTGAAGCTGCGCTGGGAAGAGGCGAGGAGGCAAGGCGGGGACGCCGAGGCAAAGTTGAAGGAGGAGATGACGAAGAATTTCCAGGATGCGTACGCTCGTCTACAGCTTCCTGAGCGTCTCGTTGAGGCTGCTAAGCGCAGTGGAACATTTGACTTGTATCTCTGTGGTGGAGGGTTTAGGGGCTGGGGTTACATGCTCATGAACCAGTCTAAGGTCAATCCGTACCCGATCCCGATTATCAATGGCTACAGAGCGTGCAGGGAGGATTTCCATGATACGGCATCCGTTCTAGAGACGGTCTCAGATTCTGAAGTCAGCGTGTTTGGAGTGTCGAAGCGGCGGGCATCACAGATCCCCGCGGTGGCTGTTTTGGTCAATGTGATCATGGACGCTCTACCGGCCATTACGCATATACAGTTCTGTCAGGGAGGAGTACGTGAGGGCTTTTTATTTGATCGACTTCCACAAGAGGTTCGGGCAGAGCACCCTCTTCTATCTGCGACGTCGCCATACGCGCCTCCATCTGCAAAGGCAATCAGGGACCTTCTTCTACAGGCATTGCCAACTTCTTCATCACCAAAAGCATCTTTGCAAGCACCAGAATCCTTCAATGCTAGTTTGATAACTGCTCTCGCCAACATGCTGTACGCACATTCTCAGGTGCACCGGGCCAGCCAGTCCGCTTCTGCGCTTCATAGCACAACCACTGGGATTCTGGCGTCAATCAACAACCTTACGCATGTTGATCGCGCTCTGCTTGCTCTGATCCTCTGCGAGCGATGGGAGGGCGACCTCCCTCCCACAGACCAGACATTCCACCACCAGCTTAGCAGATGTGTGTCGGCGCAAGAGGCATGGTGGTGTCAGTACCTTGGCCGAGTTGCCGCTCTGATCGGGGACGTGTATCCGGCAGGCCGCGTCCCGGAGACAGGCGAGAGAATCCGGTTGGAGACAACTTGGACGTCTACAGTGAAGAAGAAGGAATTGTGCGATATGTTGTGCCTCCGGATAATTTTCAGTGACGATGCTGCTGCCGCTACTGGGCGGCACATGCTGCAGGAACGGGCGGAGGAGGTTGAGAAGGCTGGGAAGAGGAAAAATTGGATCAACGAGTATGGCGTGCGAGTGGGCACTCACATCTGCTACCAATCTCCCAGTACATCTAGGATATAGCAAAGGATCTTTTGAATGCTACTAAATAGATAATCGGATCGTTGTACTCCGTTAGTCCTGCAACCTCATATCTGGTGGAGAGCGGGTCAAAGGATGCACATCCACAGAACCACCTTACATCTGAGTCTCTTGAGGGTCTCGACGATCAAGTGAGTCATTGAATCAAAGTGGGTTACACGATTGTTGACATTATGATGTCCATCCCGTCAATATGACGCCGATCTCGGTTGCTGAGAAGCTCACCGGGTAAACTGACCCATATCGATGGCGGGGATTTCCGGGAGTCGTTGGGAGGGGATAGCGCATAGATTCACCAATTGAATCCTATCAAACAAAATTTGAGTTGTGTTTGATCCGTTAATACGTCAATCGTAAACGACACTATCCAATTGAGGGAAATGATAGAACTTTTACCCAGGGTACGATGCAGGATGTAGTTGTCTGTCTGCATGTTTGCTCATTACTCACACTATTTAAACTACCCCTCCTGCACCCCCCACCTTTTCACCTTTTCACCTTCTCTCTCTTCTCTTAATCACACTTCCTACCATCGTCCATCAGAAGACTTCTATCAACAGCTATTACAAGTTCTCCTCTCTTCTCTTGGATTTCTTTCGTAGTGTGCTAACCACTCTATAGGCCAACACTATCCACTTGCAATGTAATACACACCTGTGACTCGACCCTCTGGGTCGTTTTCTATCGATGGAAGCCATGGAATCACTTTGGCTGGGCTGTTCATTCAATGATCAAGGTATCTCAGGTAAATCTTGGGCGTGGGCCGGTGTTCGTTCTCATTCATTGGCACAACAACGTGTATCTCTTTTTGGAGCTCGTAACTCTTGACTGGAGTGCATCCGAGAGAGCCACGGTGCCAATGGATGGGTTCGTTCTGAGATTATACGGTCAAAACTTGATCTGGATAATACCAGCGAAAGGATCATGCCTTCCCTCTGTTCTGTGTTGTCCACGTCCGTGGAATAGCTAACCAGTTACAGACTCAAAATGTCTCCCCCAGCTGCCATCTTTGAGCCCGCAGTGGCCCCATCTCCCAGCCTGAAGGCCAAGGTTGTGGTCCCAGAGACTGTTCCTACCTCTGGAACCTCCCAGACTCACCTCCTTGACCACTTCGGCGGCAAGTGGGATGACTTCAAGTTTGCTCCTATCAGGGAGAGCCAGGTCTCTCGTGCTATGACCAGACGCTACTTTCAGGATCTGGACAAGTATGCCGAGAGCGACATTGTCATTGTCGGTGCTGGCTCCTGTGGTCTGAGTACTGCGTACGTGCTTGCCAAAGCTCGTCCTGACTTGAAGATTGCTATCATCGAGGCCTCGGTCTCTCCTGGTCAGTATACACTTCATAAATCATACGCTTCGAAGCTAACTCTCCTCCTAGGTGGTGGTGCCTGGCTCGGAGGCCAGCTTTTCTCTGCCATGGTCCTCCGTCGCCCTGCCGAGGTTTTCCTCAACGAGGTTGGCGTGCCCTTCGAAGAGGACCCTGCAAACCCCAACTTCGTCGTCGTCAAGCACGCCTCCCTCTTCACCTCTACCTTGATGTCCAAGGTCCTCTCCTTCCCCAACGTCAAGCTCTTCAACGCCACCGCCGTCGAGGACCTGGTCACCCGGCCCTCCGCTAGCGGTGATGCCAAGGACACCCAGATTGCCGGTGTGGTTGTCAACTGGACCCTGGTCACCCTCCACCACGACGACCACTCTTGCATGGACCCCAACACCATCAATGCGCCCCTGGTCATCAGCACGACCGGTCATGACGGCCCCTTTGGTGCCTTCTGCGCAAAGAGACTCGTGTCGATGAACACCGTTGACAAGCTCGGAGGCATGCGCGGTCTTGACATGAACTCCGCCGAGGACGCTATTGTCAAGAATACCCGTGAGGTCGCCAAGGGTCTGATCATCGGTGGAATGGAGCTGTCTGAGATCGACGGCTTCAACCGTATGGGGCCTACCTTTGGCGCCATGGTGCTCAGCGGTGTCAAGGCTGCCGAGGAGGCCCTGAAGGTCTTTGACCAGCGTCAGCGCGAGTGTGCCGAGTAAGTGGCTGCTGTGGATGCTGGATGCAATGCAATTCGGTGATGGATGGATTCCATTTCACTCTTTCATGACATGGATTGATCACGAATAGTCTCGAAATGACACTCATTGAACTCTATTTCACGTCCTCTCGTAAATTAATATATTAGTACACTTAGCGCCGTCTACGGAAGGTATATATACAATTGTAATATTATAAGCCTAACAACCCAAGTCATGGGCTCTCCTCAATTTTGGTCGTTCCCCGGGCACCCGCTCGCTCAACGATGCGCTTCGCATTGCGCACCTCCCACTCAAACTCCTTCAGCGCCCGCAACTCACTCGACACGAATAACCCGCCAATCAGCCCATCCAAGATCCCCGCCCCGAAGCTCAGCGTGCTCACCAGACACAGGATGAAGGCCACATACGGGAGATGGTCGCCGGTCCACCAGACCCCAACAAAGCAGCCGATCGAGACAACAACCGACGCCACGAAATGGGCCAGGCGCCAGCGGCGCTGGGAGCGTTCGCGGCGGACATACTTGTCAATCATTCCTAGTATGCGGTCGTATGTTTCCGGCGTACAGCTGGCATTCGGCGCACTGGATACAGGATGCGCAACTTCCTTCGGTTCTGTTGTCTGAGAGGCTGTCCGGCTGATAACAGCCTCAACAGCAAAGTGGTCACTCAGCGAGCAGCGCAGCGTCGGATGCCGCTGTGTCATGCCCACCCCTACGGACTGGACCGACCATCGCGGCGCGGGATAGGCAGGCGGGTACCCGCCGTCCCCGACAAAGATGTAATCCAATCTCTTCCCCCGGGGACAGGGCGCGTCCTTATCGACGACCACATCCTCTCCTTTCTCCAGACGCTTGCGATCCTCCTTACTCCACCTCCAGGTATTAAACATGCCGTCGCAGGTAGCGCCGTTCTCCAGCAGGTTAAACTCCGCCGTGGGCACGGGCCTATTTCGCTTCTGCTCGGGCAAGTCGATGGCGGCACCAACAGACGAGTCCGGATGCAGGACCTGCCAGACATCGCGGACGGGCGCATGCGCGTGGATGAGCTGGTGCGCGAAACTCGAGGGGATCATGTTGAAATCACCGAGTCCGATGACGAGGTGTCCGCGCTCGGCCGCGCCACGCATCAGCTTGGCGATTTCCCACGCCTGCGCTGTGCGGTGGCAGATATACGAGTCGTTGGGCTCTCGTTCATATGGGGCGTGCAGGTGTGTGCAGAATACCTCTGCGACGTCGCCGACTTCTGGCCCGAACCGGATGCGCGCGCAGGCGACGCCCTTGCCGACGAACCAGTCGCCGCGGAAGAAGGCCGTGGGCCGCCCGTTGAGTGGGTAGGCGTACATAGTGCTTTCTTCAATAGGCCATTTGGAGAGGATGGCTAGTCCTGCGCCGAAAATGCCGCCAAAGTAGAACTTGCCGTAAGGGAGGATGTGGCTGGTTTGCTGGCGGATGCTCTCGTAGTCTTGCTGCGTCCAGCATTCTTGCAGACCGACGATTTCGGGAGGAGGGTCGGCGAGAACGAGTTGACGGCCGATCTCTGATAGTCGTTCATGGCGGTATTTGGCGAGATATTTGAGGCCCCAGCAGTTGAGGGTGAGGATGCGGATCTCGGAGGGCGGGGAGGAGAGGGACGGAGAGGGAGATCGAGAGGGGTCCATGGTGGCTGTCGGTATATCAAATGATCGATGAGCGTCGTATCAGAAGCATTCTCAAATTGATCTATCGGAGAAAATATTTGAAAGCAGTAGATAGATGCCGAGCGCTGCTTCTTGCCAAAGTCAGGACATTATTGCATGCCTGGAAATTGAGGACACCGATGAAGTCACGTCTTCACCGCCTCAGGCCGCAAGGCGTCATTGGCCCGCGTGATTTTCATTATCGCGGGATTGTTATCACAAGTCTCTGCCATTGAGAGTCACATCCCTAGCTTCTTACCAGTCAATTGACACGGCCCAAATGGACAATTCAGATCATCGCTCCAAACGTCGCCGACTAGAGAGACTGTCTACGCAGAACATCAGCACTCCCGAGACTAAACATGTTTATTCGCCCATCGACTCCTCGTCGGATGAGCTCGCGGCTCTCTCCGACCATGACGAGCAACGTCGTCGCGTGAGCTGGACTGCGCAAAAGGTGTACCCGCCTAAAAGACCGTACCGTCGAACGCGGAGCTTCAGCGGCTCAGAATCTCCGGATGAACTGGCCGTCGATGCCGACGTCTACTGGCGGTCCCGCAACCGCGGACGCAGCCCGTCGCACTCCGAAACCAGCGCCCAGGAGCAGCTGTCAGAGCGCTATCAGGATGACGAGCTTGAGGCAGATGAAGAGGAGAGCGCGGGGGACGTAGAGGTTGACCAGGAGTATTCGGACCGGTCGCCTACGCCAGTGCCTCCGCCGGCCCCTCCGCCGCCGCCCAAGCCGGAGAAACTGACTTATCAGCAAAAGTTCTTGCTAAGAGGGCATCTGCGGGGGGTATCGGCGGTGAAATTCTCTCCTGATTCTACCATGATCGCCAGTGGAGGTATGTTCATCTGTCAGGCACGATCGTGCGATGGGGTGTGACTGAAGTATCTAGGGGCCGACGGGGCCGTCAAGGTTTGGGATACGCGCAGCGGGAAGCTCATCCATACATTCGAGGGGCATTTGGCGGGTATTTCTACGATATCGTGGAGTCCGGATGGGGCTACGATCGCGTCGGGGTCGGATGACAAGACCATCCGGCTGTGGAACGTGTTGACGGTAGTGCCATGTGTCTACGTCTGTCGTTTGACCGAACTAATGTCTTTCTTCCATTGACAGGGCAAAGCTCATCCAATTCCATTTGTCGGCCACCACAACTACGTCTACCAAATTGCCTTTTCCCCAAAGGGCAACATGCTGGTCAGCGGATCCTACGATGAAGCTGTCTTCCTATGGGACGTTCGGTCCGCCAGTGTGATGCGGTCGCTGCCAGCGCACTCCGACCCGGTCAGCGGGATCGACGTCGTGTGGGACGGAACGCTCATCGTCTCCTGCGCCACGGACGGGCTGATTCGGATCTGGGACACGGCGACGGGCCAGTGTCTGCGGACGCTCGTGCACGAGGACAACCCGCCCGTGACGGCGGTCAAGTTTTCGCCCAACGGCAAGTTCGTGCTCGCCTGGACGCTGGACGACTGCGTGCGGCTGTGGAACTACGTCGAGGGTCGCTGCATCAAGACGTATCAGGGTCACGTGAACCGGAAATACAGCTTGCTGGGCGGGTTCGGGATCTACGGGCTGCCGGGGGCGCCGCCGGAAGCGTTCGTCGTCAGCGGAAGCGAGGACGGCTCGATCCTCTGCTGGGATGTGGTGAGCAAGAAGATTCTGCAGCGGCTTGAAGGGCATAATGGGGTGGTGCTGGGCGTGGATACGTGCAGTCTGGGAGGGCAGCGGCTCATGGTGAGCTGCGGACTGGACGGGACGGTACGGGCCTGGGAGGAGGTGGAGGAGAAGGAGGAGGCAGCCGAAAGTGATGATGTCGCCGTGAAAGCTGAAGTGAACGGAGACGGTGCTGACGATAGTCGCATCGGCAATGCCGCAAATGGAGTCATCGCAGACGAAGCAGTCAACGGTCTCAAAACCGAACCACCTACTCCGCAACCCCAAGAGGGGGACGGCCCTGACGAAACCAAAGACCAAGACGGCGACACACCGATGGAATGACAGTGACGGGTGGTTTGCATTTGCGGATGTATGTATATTAGGATACCCCGGCGTCTGGAGTTGTACTACCTTGTCTATATTCTCATGCGCTAGTCTACATCTACATCTATCTTCATATCTAGCATGTGGTGAACGGCCTTTTTAATTTAGTATAGCACGGTACACCGACAGAGACATAACAAGGTACCAATTTCACATGAGACCGAAAGACCCAACCCCTAATTTTCTACCCTTATTAACCGAACTTCAACCAATATTCTTCTATATGCTTTGTGCCTGTACTTCATTATTAGGGTTACCGAGATCAACAGTGGTTCTCCCAATCAGCATTGAGTCTGTGGCCATTTTGTTTGACGTTATCTAACGTTCACCAATCATATTGCTTTCCAAGTTATTCTTCCCACAAATCCGTGGTTCAGAAGATAAACACATAAATAAATGCTTTTGAAGTAACAGACAATGCCCCTCCTTCTGATGGTGATCAACATTTTTCACAGTTTCACCTTCCCTTTGTAGATAGGCTACGAGACTAATAATGAATCTGTTATAAATTGTGGATCTATTCTTTACTTTGTGATTGATTTTGAACCAGAACAATAGATTTCTATAAGCAAATACAGAGCTAAAGCAGAGAGTCTAGACTGGCCCTTATGTAAAGTGTGCTTTGTTTTCTAACTTTTTAGGGTACACAATACCCGTTCATTTTCCACAGACTCTATGTAGTAAGGGTATACGTATTCGTCGACTGACTCTGGGAAGACTAGGACCACAGTATATAACAAAAATTTAAGAAACATAGATATGTCCAGTGGAGGTGAGACCACTTCCGCTGATCAGGTAGTTGTTCGCACACATGAAGTAGGCATAGCGGGCGACCATGGGCTGCGAGTCCAACCAGGGGAGAACCTCGCTGAGGAACTGCTCGGACTCGCTAGACGAAGCGCCTGTGCTGATGTCGTTGTTGAGGGCAAACTCGGTGATCCAGACACTCTCGAGGCCCTTCTCGGAAGCGAACGAGATGGCCTGGTTGACGAAGTTCTTGAACTCCTCGGCGGAGTTACCGTACCAGTGCACGGCGAGGGCGCTGATGCCGCAGTCGGTGCAGGACTGCAGGAAAGTGTTCATCCAGTCCAAGCCTTGGCCGGGAGAACCGCTGTTGGTGACACCGGGGGAGACCAGTTTGGCCTTGCCGCTGAAGGGGGTGATGTACTGCTTGTAGGCCTGCGCGGCCTCGGAGGGGGACATGGCGGACTGGCCGCTGTTGTCGGGCTCGTTGAAGCCCAGAATGTACTGGCTGCCGCTGGCAAGGGCCGTCTCGATGGCTGAGAGCCAGCCGCCGAACATCTTGCTGCCCCAGAGCATGGGCACGAACTCGACGCCGGAGGGCAGAGTACCCGAGGCCAACATGTTCCAGTCGTATGCCCAGGAAATCGAGCCATTGCTGCCGAGGGCTTGCACGGCCGAGACATCGTTGTAGGCGGCTCCGCGCTTGGTGCTGGAGCGCTTCTCGATGTGGCGGTGCTGGTGGCCGTGGGGGGCGGCCACGGCGGAGGAGGCCAGAAGGCCGGCAGTGAGGAGGTTCTTGAAGGAGACCATTTTGAGTCTTCTCTTCTTTTGTCTTCAAGTAGTTTGTGTAAGGAGCGAGCCGAGAAGCAGAGTTCTCAAAGATTTGAGAAGGGAGCGGAGGGTGTGCTTGAGCGAGCAAGCAGCAGATAAAGTTCACAAGAAAGGAATGACTATTGACCGTGCACTGCACAGGACAATAACAGCAAAAGCGATTCTAAAGGAGAGTGACGAGAGGAGAAGAAGAAGAAGATGAAAAGATTGGGAAGAGGTCGAGGGGGGGGAAGAGGCACATTTTAAAGATTGTGTCTATTAGGGTAGGCGCCACAAAGAGAGTCACCAACGAGAGTCTGGGCGCCAATCCTCATGAAAAAGACATCATTATTGCCATTGTTCCTGCTTTGTTTTCCTTCTGAATAACGGGAAATTCAGCGAATGCAGCAATCTGATTTGTAGGGATGGGTTTCTGTTCCTGAGGCGTACACGCACCCACGGAACTCCACCAGGAGCAATCCATGGTGGAGGATGGCACAACCATTGGGCCTATGGAAAGAGACATGTCTGACAGGTACAGGTACAGGTACAGCCGGAGACAGCTCACATCCTGCGAAGATGATTTGGCACCACCGACAGACAGAATGGATTAAGATGTGGGCCAAAAAGATCCGTGAGTATGAAGATGATGATTGATTGATGGATCAAATGGCAGAAGACCTGATTGGGTCTGGACTGCCTTGGCGCCTAAGGCTGCTGGCACTACTGTAGTTAACACATGTTTTATTCCCCGAAGTCTGTTCAAGAAAGCTCAATAATAATCGAGACTGTTTGTTTAAGACAGAAATAACAGTGCACGCTATTTAGAGAGCGTCCAGGTCTGGAGTCGAGACTATTGATTGTTACTGCTACAGTAAGTACGTTAGTCGACCACATCCTGGTGTCGTTGGCGGTCTTTGTAGTGCTCCACCAGGATCCACGACAGTCCAGACCAGAAACTCTGATTTCCCTTTCCATTTGACCGCAAGATACTATTGCTGACTACGTACTTATTCTCAAGTTCCTCGGAATGTTTGATTACTTTCTGGGCGGAATCGTCCAGGGAACCCTGTATCTAGGTAGCTGACCGACAATCAGGCCGAGACTCATCGAGTCAACACCGCGAGAAACAAAGAACTCGAGCATGAGACCACTGACATCAAGTTTGCGGGGTGGCTGTCCTGCATACGTATGCTCCTAGTGCTCCGGATGGACTCACTATCTGCACACTAAGAAATCATGAAACACGCCGATCGCTGAGGACCGCCACTACCAAGCATCGCCGGTCTGCCCACTAGCTTCCTAGTCTGCGCTTTATTCGACCACGGCCTTAAGAGCAAATGGAAAGTGCAGATTGTCTTGTTACTGGTAAGCCAGACGACGTGGACGTGGAGATGTGGCTGTCGCCATATTAAATGTCTCATCAAACTTGAATTTTGTCGCCAGGATTCCCTTCGTCCACACTAATGAAGAATGGGAATTTCATCTGGAACCATGTCTCGCCTTCAACTTTCTCCTAGGCCGGACACCCCCGGTCTTCCTGACCGACTGCCCATGGTTGAGCCTGAACAGTTCCCTTCGTTCGTCCTTTCCTCGGTGTCAAATATTGGACGGGAATGGGTCACCGTCAGGGCTGACGGAAGCCACCGGGTTGTCATTGGAACGTCCATCTGATGACCCTCGCTGACATTCAGGCTCCACGTCTGACAGCAGCCACTGAGGTATCAGAGAGTGGCGCTGCGTGGCAAGCATGATATCTGCCTGGCGGTGGTCCTCCCGCCATAGCGCCGACCACGGGGACTGTACCATGATGGTAAACTCTGTCAGATCTTCAGATCCATCTATCGAACTCAAATTGCGAGAGGGATGGGATACATCTGGAAGGAGCCGGATTGCTTATAGTCGACTGCAGCACTCCAGGAACCACCCCGGAATCACCAAACAACACGATATCTATATCAAAAAAGGCCTTGACTTTGCACTACAGCGCGGCAGAACTTTCCTTCAGGATCGCCGCGGGCCCTACTAGTAAGTAGGGGGATTTGCCTCGGCTGTGAGGGACATCCTTCGCCGACTCATCATGAAGTCATTACCCGATTCGGTAATCATCCATGTCGGTTGGTAAAACACAAGATTCGTAGACCACTTTCCACAAGTCTCCGAGTCCACAACTATAATGATTGATCAGGTTGAACAGAGTACGTACTGTATTCATCCCTTAACCAGCGCAAATGTCGAGAAGACGTCTGAACAAGATCGCCCCCAGCCAATCCCCGTTGGGAAGACAATGCTCTGCCTGGCCTGAGGAGACCCGAAGACTGAGATCGTCACAATTGCATCCTGAAATCAGGAGGACCAAAGGTCGATACCAACATTCGAATCAATAGTATACTACCCTTCGATATCCGTGCTATACATCTTATTCACCTTGTATTTCGGATCTCGATTTCTCTTATTCATGCACAACAGAGCCATCCTAGACCGGGTCATCTGCTTTATTCGCCTTGGACGGAGTCGTCCCTGCAGTTGTGCGATCCTGATTGACTAGATATAACCAAAGGTCGATAGGTATCCGGGTGGTTTGCATTAATGGCTTTGTACAACTTACTGAACCATGAATGCCTGTGCCGACAGATGATCTCCAGGCGGATTGTGCGTCTGTTGCACTGAGGTTCTATCTGCTACTATAGGCTACAGCGTTTCAATGCTAAATGGGATTTCAGAATGCTTAACCTTCCGTGCGCTAAGGTAGGCGCCTTTAAGTGCGCGTTTTTCATGAGCATCTATCAGATACTCAGTCAAAAGCGCATGAACTCAACCCCAAACTATTGGCAGACTTCCTGCCATGTTTCTGCTTTCGTCGTTGCCATGACTTGAGCATCGGATAGACGACAGTGATTCGTAAAAGCAAAGAGCAGCCGACCTAAAGAGCCAGGAGGAACAAACGCCCCTCCGTCAACATCACTGCTGGTAAGACCTCATAAACTTCCCGCCAGCCCCTCCCTGCTTAAGAGATATTACTTACAAATAGAGTGAAGATGAAGCTCGTCAGTGACAAGTCGGCCGGTCGCGTTTGCGCAGACGAAACAATTGAACGGATGGAACCTGTATAATGTGGAGGAGCCAAAGCACCTCCGTCAGCACGAATGCTGGCAAGATGTTCCTTATAGACTTCCCACCAGCCCCTCCCTGCCTAGAAAGGAATAATACTTGCCTGTAGATACATGGTCGTAAAATCGTCAAGGTGAGCGGCTTGATGTCATTCAGACAGTATAAGCGAAGGGAGACAGGCACACCACTGCTAGTCAGACTTTCTCGATCAGCTTCTGGCCAGCTCCTCCCTGTCAAGCGAGAGGATCACTTACCTGAGAGGACACCAGTATATGTTGCTGTGCATCCGTAAT